GTGTAGGGAGATGAGAGGAATAATTAAGTAAATTAAGCATCTTTAAGTGTTCCAGGAATACCTTAGGAAATTCTTTATTCAAGTAACTATTGAAGAAGCCATATTTGTCTTTTGAAAGATACAGACTATGAACAGGGGCCTGAAGTTTGAGTGGAATTTGAATAGACTGTAAGAAAGAGAACAGATGTCACATGTAGGAAAAATGTGTGCAAAGACTAGGGCTCTACATGAGTTTGTAGTGTGAAGGCAGCTTCTCAGATAGGAACCTGTCTCAGGCTCACTGGGAACCTGTCTCAGGCTCACTGGAAACCTGTCTCAGGCTCACTGGGAACGTGTCTCAGGCTCACTGGGAACCTGTCTCAGGCTCACTGGAAACCTGTCTCAGGCTCACTGGGAACGTGTCTCAGGCTCACTGGGAACCTGTCTCAGGCTCACTGGAAACCTGTCTCAGGCTCACTGGGAACGTGTCTCAGGCTCACTGGGAACCTGTCTCAGGCTCACTGGAAACCTGTCTCAGGCTCACTGGGAACGTGTCTCAGGCTCACTGGGAACCTGTCTCAGGCTCACTGGAAACCTGTCTCAGGCTCACTGGGAACGTGTCTCAGGCTCACTGGGAACCTGTCTCAGGCTCACTGGAAACCTGTCTCAGGCTCACTGGGAACGTGTCTCAGGCTCACTGGGAACCTGTCTCAGGCTCACTGGAAACCTGTCTCAGGCTCACTGGGAACGTGTCTCAGGCTCACTGGGAACCTGTCTCAGGCTCACTGGAAACCTGTCTCAGGCTCACTGGGAACGTGTCTCAGGCTCACTGGGAACCTGTCTCAGGCTCACTGCGTGCAAAGACTAGGGCTCTACATGAGTTTGTAGTGTGAAGGCAGGTTCTCAGATAGGAACGTGTCTCAGGCTCACTGGGAACGTGTCTCAGGCTCACTGGGAATCTGTCTCAGGCTCACTGGAAACCTGTCTCAGGCTCACTGGGAACATGTCTCAGGCTCACTGGGAACGTGTCTCAGGCTCACTGGGAACCTGTCTCAGGCTCACTGGAAACCTGTCTCAGGCTCACTGGGAACGTGTCTCAGGCTCACTGGGAATGTGTCTCAGGCTTGCTTTTACCTCATTCACTCACTTTGCCTCAGGAGAGTATTTGTGCTCTAGAAAAGACTCAAAATATTTTATTGCCAAATTTGAATAAGAGTGCAAATTTAATCTGTGCGTCTAAGAAAAACAAGCTCACCTCTGACATGTCAAAAGCAACTCCTCTGCCAGGCATTTGAAGGTTTTCAGAATAAGTTTTCTGACCTTCCTCACCTCCACCTGCTGATGGACCCATCTTCCTCCATCCCTTAGACACATAGGCTTAGCACATGCCATTCCCCTGGTGAAAACAAACTTCATTGTTCTCATGCCTGATTACAGCCTCTTGGGGTACAGCTGTAGTTTTACTTGATTGTTACCCATCATGACATATTGAGTCTTGGGCTGCATGGGCCATGAGGACCTCCAGATATAGGAAGGGCAATTATTAATATTTTATATACACAGAGTATAACTAATTTCTCAGATAATTTACTTCCCTCTTAAGGAAATTATTATCTAAAATCAGACGAGGCAACATTTTATTGCTTTGCTTTCTTATAGGACTATTATGTTTCTGAACATGGCTGTATTATCTCTGTCCAAATGACAGGATTCTTATTCCATAATGTGCTGTCCCTCTCTGGTCCTATTGCACAGTCCTGGGTTCATAGTAGATGCCCAATAGATAATTAATGATGTGCATACATACATTTCTTCAACACAGGACCCTGAAGAAATCTGTTATACAATGATTACATACATCTTGATGCATGGGCAAGTTTGGGACAAGCAAGTATTCCAACATGTGAAAACTAGACAGGACCCTCTGTCCCTGAGCACAATTTGCTTTCAAATCCATTATCCTGGGGCTGGGGAGACAGTTTATGGTTAAAACACTTGCCCTGCTTGGATTTCCAGAAAGATAGAAAATATCAGATAATCATTGTGACTCATCTGTAATTTTAGTATTGGAAGGCAGAGAAAGGATCATGAAAGCTGGTTAACAAGACTAGCCATATCTGTGAGCTGAGGTTCGATTGAGAGGCCCTTTCTCAGAGGAAAAACAATCGAAGACAATTCCCACCATGAACCTCAGGCCTCTACATGCACACACATATGCCCACACATATGCAAACATGAATACACACACATGCACACATCACATACACATATGAAAAAAATGGAAAAAAGAAAAAAAATCATTATATTATTGCTCCTTCAGGAAACATGAGAAATGAAGAAAATATTTGGATTTTGCAGAAGTGGGTGTAGATTAGAGTTTAAGTAATCTGTTTAATTAAGATCAGAGGTGTGTGCCGAACCTGACTCATCCCTCATTTTATGATTCTGAATCTAAAGGACCAGATATCCCCAGAACATGGGGAGTTTATGATAAGAGAACTTACCAGAATGAGGGCAGTGAGGAGCCTGAAAGATAAAGATGTACGTGCACTTGGGGCAAGGTTTGAGATGGAGGGGGCTTGGCAGCCATAGGCTTCTGTACAGCTTTCCATAGCTCCCAGAGACAAGGAATTGGAATGAATATTAACTATGACAGACTGTCCTCACACTGCACGTGGAGGTAGAGAATAGCTTCTGTCACATACCACATTGAAAAACCCTATGTGGCCTCTAAATCGTCAGTCACAGAGGGTTAAATCTGCCCCCTTTGCATTCAGCTTTGATATCTACTGATTGCTTGTAATCTGCCCGGAAGACAATAATCCTGTGTTCCACTTGTGGGCTGCCATGTGATGCCTCATAGTCCCAGAGGGCTGATCAGTGACATCTACTGGTTTAGTTTGAAATAAGCAAGTTCCAAGGTGAAACATCCAATTAGCATCTCTCCTCTTTAATAACATTTAATAACAACCAACGGAACCGGGAAGTCATGGTGTCTGCGGCAAGCTTTATGTAAACTCTGGAAAAGCACCTGACTCTTTCCTGATGAGGGACAGCGTGGGACTTGTGATTTTGCAGAGTGCCTGAAAACGCTTTTTGTAAATCTTTCAATATCCAAATTCAAAAGAAGTAACACAAGGACTTTGTGTTTTTGGAGTTCCTCATGGCTCAGGATTTTATCCTGAACTTGAAGGTTGGGTGTGGGAAATACCTAAATTACTTTCTGCTTTAGGAAACTCTGAGTCGTCCTGTTGCTGAGCCCTGTGTGTCATAGTCCGGAGTGGATTCTTTTCTAAAGAGCCAGCACATTAAAAAGTACATAGATATGTTTTTTTTTTAAAATTTACTCTTTAAGAATTTTGTACATGCTTATAATCTATTTTGATTCTA